ACCTCCGCCCGGCTTCCCGCGCTGCCCTTGCTGCTGATGCAGCTTCGTCGGTGCAGCGTAGTTTGCCTGCGGAAGGAGCTCCGTGGGCTGTTCGGCCTCCTGCATCGCCTCGTCTTGAAGGATGTAGCTGGTGATGGAGTCCTCGTCGAGGGACTCACGCGTGCCGGGCACCATCATCATCCTCTTCATGAGGTTGTAGTCGCGCGGCATGCCCTTAACGATGTGGGTGATATAGGACGCCGTCGAGTGTTCGGCGCCCGCCATCCGCATCTCAGCCAGGATCCGCCGAGCACGGTTGCAGTAGTCCGTAGCCGACTCCTGCTCGCCCATACGAATGTGTGTCATCTTCTCCTCCGGCTGTCCGATGTACAGGTCGTCCCTGACCTGGTACGTCGACAGGATGAAGTGCCATGCCTGGTGACCAGCATCTAGTCGCTCTCGACAGCTCCTGAGCGCCGGCTTCACCACCGGCGAGCAGCACCTCGAGATGACCATGAAGGTGAGCAAGTGGGCCGCACGAAACTCCCCGCGTAGCTCGACATCGTCCACGGGCGGAGTTGGCACGGTGCCGTCGGCGAAGCCCTTCAACGCGCCGACCTCCAGCTGAGGTTCGATCGACTCCCTCCAGGTGATGAGGTCCCGTCGACCTTGAAGAGGTGAGACGGTGATCCGGTCCAGCGAGAACTTGAAGTAGCCATACGCCGGTGCAATCCCGCCCGCCGTCACATGCGTCGTCGCCGAGAGCCCTCCACCGCTTCGTAGAGGAGAGCGACGTCGAACATCGACGTCGGCACGAGAGCTGCCTGCAGCCGCCGTCGACCGCTGCACTCGCGCCTGGATTCCGTCGACACCACCGTCGACCTTGATCACCCCTCTCTGCTTCGTGCCATCAATGCCGCTGACGCGTGCACCACCGTCGACCTCAACGTCGACGCCACCCTCGTTGCGCACCGGTCGAGGAGATGCAGGACGGGAAGGGTGTTCCGTCGCCCACTGCGACCGGATGCCCAACTCGGCGATCACCAAGGGGATCGTCCCGTTCTCGCCATCCGCGTGGCGTTTCCTCGCGTCAGCGAAGCGAGCCTCCAAGGTGTCCGCTACGCCCGCATCAACTACGGGGTCGACCATGGTGACTAACGGTGCTGCCGGCCTACGAACGACTTAGTAGGTGCAAAAGTCGGCTCCTATCTGAAGGTAATCTGCGGGGCCGTCCACGCTCACCGCACCATGCGGAGAGTCACTCTACAACGGTAGTGAGCTAGACTATGGGGGTTGGCACGAACTATCAAGAGTGATCGTAGCTTTGCTTGCGTTCCTTAGCACTTGCACATTCACGTGAGAAGTTGGCAAGAGTTTCACTAGCAAAGTTGGAATTACAGAATGATTGAAGAAGCAATGACAACAATGACTACATCAGGCACCTAGCAACCCTGCAGCTAGCCTGGTCGACCGCCAGCACAGCTTGGTCGACCGCCTGCCAGCATTGCGTAGAGGAGCCGCGCCAGCACTGCAGAAGGGCGACCTGCCAACACTGCAGGTCGACGGCGTGCCAACGCTGCAGCAAAGCGGCTGTCCAGCGTTGCCCCGTAGAAGACAGCAGTGCGAACACTCGCAGGTGCGCGCAGACGATTGGCCGGACTTGCACCGTTGTGCATCCGTCGGCTGTTGTCTGCGCCTGACGAGCCACATCGACTTCGGGATACCAGCCCGAAGTCGCCTTCGCCATCGCGACCTCGACGACGTTCGCGTGCCTCCGCAGAACTCGTCGAGCAGGTTACCCGGTCGACCTGGTCGACCACCAAGTGCTCCGATCGACCACCAGTGCCTTTGGTCGACCACTGGGTCCCTCTGGTCGACCACCAGGTGCCTCTGGTCGACCACAGCTCCTGTCAAGCTACCCCCTGGTCGACGGACCCCTTCCGTCGACCAGAACTGTCAGTTGTTGTCGCCCAGCTCCCCTCGTCGACCACTGCTCACTTGTCAGGTCGACGGACTCCTCCGTCGACCTCCCTGTCGAACTGCAGGTCGACGGACTGCTCCGTCGACCTCCCGGTCGAACTGCCCCTCCTGGTCGACGGCCCACCCGTCGCCCAGACCAGTCAGTTGCAGCTGTCGAGCTCCCTGGTCGACAGCAACACCACAGCGGTCCCCTGCAGCTCGACCAAGCCTGTCGAGCAGCTCTCCCACTGTGAACGGTCGGCTGCCACTCCCGTACATCCGACCAAGTCGTCGGCGTTGCCCAAGCAAGGGCGGGGCCAACACTCCATTCCCATTAACAATCCATACATAAAAAACATGTCGGTGTTAAAATCGTAAGTAAATCAACTTGTTAATTATGGATAGGATCGGGCGATAAGTACAGTTGGGTCTGGACTGATGAGCAGGTAAGTACAGGCGATGCTCGCTCCTTTCTTGTAAAAGGTAGAATGAAGAAATTAGGCACCAACGCATGCCAATGCTCTCCAATCCCATCACCCGCGCGTACCAGCTCTCGCGACATCTCGACGACATGTTGCGGCCCTCGCCCAATCACACCAAGTTCACCAGGAGAATTAACAACACACTCATCACATTCTCACTCTGCACACCTCTTCAGTTCGAAAATAATTGAGCAAAAACCATTGTTTCATCCTAAGATCGCCTTCCTGGGCTGTCCCAACTTCGAAGTGGGGACACCAAAAAGTGCAACTGTCAGGTGCAAGCCATTGGGCATTGTGATGAGGTGGAGGGGGAACGAATCTGGACGTCGCATTATTCAGACGCTACCAACGTGCGAAGACGTCGCATTTGGGCTACCTTAAACCCATCGTCGTACAGTACGAATCTGACCGTCGATTTTGTGCTACCCTAAACCCAGAGTCGTATAGGCAGTTTTGATTGGAAGGAGGTTTCGCAATTTCCAAATGTTCGCACACACAAGGGTCGCTCCAGTATGTGAAAGCAACGTGATAGAAACGTGAAGGCTGCCATGCTAGAAGGCTGTCCTGTCCCAACTTCGCAAGAAGTGCATCTAAATGTGCCTATAGGTCGCATTAATTGTCAGCGATTGGTTGTGCAGGTTCCATCCTGTCACCGGATGGTTTTTCGCGAGATTTTGTCCGCACTCGAGTCGCGAGACGAGTTCGAGCATGGGCGTGTCATAGGCGCCCTATCCTGGTGCAGTGCACCGGGTTTGCGTCACATGTACCGTGTAGCTATCCGACTCCTTAATTGCATTACACGCCACACGCCCTCGTTTCTTGCCTCAGGTTCTTCTCAAATCAATGCCTACACTGTGTATAAGCGTATGCTCGTGTATGAGGTTTCACTTATTATGTCTACGTGTAATAGTCTGAATGATTGGTTTCTCAATATCGGTGTAGCCATATTTTGTCATTCTGCTCAAATCGTGCACGACTGCTGTGTACTTTTCACTCTGGTTATGGAAAATGCCCCCCCCCCCCCCGAATCTTGCGTTATGTGTCCGACAAGCTACTTTTATGGCGACATAGATGTATCGCAAATAATTTTCGCGAGTGCGTGAGTTTTGCAACTTATCCGAACTTTCAATTGCTTACTTTATAAACGTAGAAGTTTTTTTTCCCGCGGATTTCGATTTAGATCATTCAGGTCTTGTATTTCAATGCTCTTAAAATTGAAGGCAAGCCCCTGCCCAACTTCGACATTTGAAGTGTTTAGTGGGCCTCCGATCTGCAACATATTCAGTGGTATGATTACCTCGAGGACGATTCTTGTTGGGAAATGATCAAATAGGGGCCGAACAGTGCCAGAGAGATGACCAAAGTAGGGCCGGTAAATCTCGACCGTAAGATTTATCCCGGAGCTGCCCAAACGACTTGACGAACAAGCCGAGCCGCAAGTGAAAGATAATTACTTTCAGAACCACATTCATTGTTCGTTCTTATCTGTTGAGGATGCTGACCGCCATCTACTACAACAAGCGCGTCGCATTATTCTGGAAGTAAACTTCGGCATAATAAATTGTGAGTACAGAATCTATTATATTCTATGTGATAAATATCGCCCACCTGATCGGAAACGCGCAGGAAAAGAAATATAACCCATTCGGAAACATATGCGACTCGGGAGGCAACAACCCTAAACGCAAGGAAGTTCCCGTTTTTAGGGTTGATCCATCCCTAAAATGCATACATGTTCACTAGGTGGTTTTAGTTTTTTGGTTGCCCTTAGAATTCCCGGTAGAGTCGGCTCGCTAAATGACACGCGAGCGAAAATACGAGCCGGTACAAGGAACTAGTAACAGAAATACTTGCAAGAAACGATGACCCTCTGGTTAATCCCTCCTTGCGCAGCGGTTTGGTTAGTTCCGAGCCTCTCGGCCCCTGGTTGATCACCCCTCTGGCACTGTTCGGCCCCAGTATGATCTTTTCCCATTCTTGTTGTGGGGGCCGCCTGGCTTTGGGCTAGATGAGTGCACAGGTTGTCTCACATTTCCACCTGATTGGAAGATTTGAAACCCGATGCAATGAGTGTGTGGCAAGATATGCGATTTTAGTGCCCAAGGCAAGTTTTGTAACTCAGTTATTGGGTTTTAGGGGCAAATGACCTTGATTTGTCCGTCGATGGGAATTTCCCGCGTTTTGTCCCTTGAATCATCCCACGGGGGCACTCGCAAAGTTCGGCGGAGGTTCGGGGTGCACACCAAACCTGAAATTTGGCTGGGTGAGCGGTTGTGGTTGTTTCGGATGTTCGGCAGATCCCAGCACAATTGGTTGCCAAATCGAGTCCCATCAACTGTGAGACCGAGTTTGATCTGCAGAAGAAAGTACAATACACTTGTAGCTTGTTACACATACAGTAACCTGGACACCACCCGCAGTGTCAATCCCAAGCTTCACCGATCGATGCGGTTGTCCGCGTTATAAGATTCGGTCCTCGCTAGTGACACCAAAACAGGGTCGTCGTCACACCCGCAAACCACGAAGTTCAGCATTCCCCCTCTGCTCGCTCATGCCATTGCGCCACCGCCACCCCCCCGGATGACTCCATTGCGTCAACCCCGCACGTGGCGGCGGCGGCAGGGACTTTCTCCCGCCACTCTGTCAGTCGTCGCACTCGTAGCAGCCACGTGGCTTTTTCTCGTCGCGACTCGATCTGCTTCTGTAAGGCTCGGCCATAGTAGCGACTCGCGCGCATTCGAGGGCCGCTACTTTATCACCCCGCTGGCTATCATCAGTCTTAGATCAGCATCACACATTCCAGAACGCGGATTCTCATGCGACTGTAGCCAAGACCTGAAAACCAGGTGGGAGGCAAACTGGGCCCAGTTTGCCTCCCGCACCTGCTCGGTTTCTAGCGACCCGAACCTCTAGCTGGGGGTCTTCCAAACCTCAGATTTTCGTCACGGAGTGCAATTCCGGTTTTTGCCCTGATAAGTTGTGCGGTGCAGATTCTCACAACACCAAGAGCATTAGCTTTCCCGAGAAAGGATTCTAACCTCTTCGCCCTCCCTTTTCCTCCCTCTCTCCCTCGGCTCTCCCCGGCGACATTCCGCACCGCATTGTACCGATCCGTCCGACGTGCCCCCCCCAGGGCGAGTACCGACCGCCGTCGTTGAATTGGGACTTCTCCCGCGCGTCGTCCACCGACTCCGCCCTCTGCGGCTCCTGGCCCGCCGACTACGCCGCGCGCCACAGCGCCATCCGCCAGGCCAGCGCAGCCGCGCACGCGGAGGTCGTCAAGCGGAGCAGGGGGAGCGGAGTCTTCGCGTGGTTCACGCGCCCGCTCCCCCCGCGCCCGTACGATCCCGCCGTTCGCTTCCTAACGTTCGAATGGCTGGACGGGTGTGGCGGGTACGGCGACGCGCTCAACGGGCTGCTGCTCGCGTTCGTCACGGCCGTGCTGGACGGCCGCGCGCTCATCGTCCGCCACGACTGCCTGACGGCCGCGTTCCTGCCGGCCATGATCGACTGGCGGCTGTCGGACGACGTGCCTCTAGAGCCCGCGAGGGTCGTGACGGCGCCCGGCTACAACTGGGACGGCGTCGTGAGCGCCGCGCGCCCAGAAGCCCCGGTGGAGGCGGGGGAAGTGGTACGGCTGGACATGCGGAACTCGCGCATCGAGCTGGAGACGTACTTCAAGGCGCTCGAGAACGCCACCAACATCCGACTGTCGGCGAACCTGGGCGCGCTCACGCACCTGGCCACCAAGGCCAAGGGCGAGTGGGCGGAGCGGTTCAGAGGCCTGGGCATCCGCCTGCCTTACGCCGTGGGTTGCTTCCTCCGGTTCCTCCTGCGGTGAGCCGTGCGTGCGCGCAGGGGATTGTGATTGGTGGGCATGTGGGCGGATGGGGGAATGTGGGCGGGTGGGGGAATGTGGAGGGCGGATGGGGGAATGTGGAGGGAGGATGGGGGAATGTGGGCGGATGGGGGAATGTGGGCGGATGGGGGAATGTGGGTGGATGGGGGAATGTGGGCGGATGGGGGAATGAGGGTGGATGGGGGAATGAGGGTGGAGGGGGAATGAGGGTGGATGGGGGAATGAGGGTGGATGGGGGAATGTGGGTGGATGGGGGAATGAGGGTGGATGAGAGAATGAGGGTGGAGGGGGAATGAGGGTGGATGGGGGAATGAGGGTGGATGGGGGAATGAGGGTGGATGGGGGAATGTGGGTGGATGGGGGAATGAGGGTGGATGGGGGAATGTGGGCGGGTGGGGGAATGTGGAGGGCGGATGGGGGAATGTGGAGGGCGGATGGGGGAATGTGGAGGGAGGATGGGGGAATGTGGGCGGATGGGGGAATGTGGGCGGATGGGGGAATGTGGGTGGATGGGGGAATGTGGGTGGATGGGGGAATGTGGGCGGATGGGGGAATGAGGGTGGATGGGGGAATGAGGGTGGAGGGGGAATGAGGGTGGATGGGGGAATGAGGGTGGATGGGGGAATGTGGGTGGATGGGGGAATGAGGGTGGATGAGGGAATGAGGGTGGATGGGGGAATGAGGGTGGATGGGGGAATGAGGGTGGATGGGGGAATGTGGGTGGATGGGGGAATGTGGGTGGATGGGGGAATGAGGGTGGATGGGGGAATGTGGGCGGGTGGGGGAATGTGGAGGGCGGATGGGGGAATGTGGAGGGCGGATGGGGGAATGTGGGCGGATGGGGGAATGTGGGTGGATGGGGGAATGTGGGTGGATGGGGGAATGTGGGTGGATGGGGGAATGTGGGTGGATGGGGGAATGAGGGTGGATGGGGGAATGTGGGTGGATGGGGGAATGAGGGTGGATGGGGGAATGTGGGTGGATGGGGGAATGTGGAGGGCGGATGGGGGAATGTGGGCGGATGGGGGAATGTGGGTGGATGGGGGAATGTGGGTGGATGGGGGAATGTGGGTGGATGGGGGAATGTGGGTGGATGGGGGAATGTGGGTGGATGGGGGAATGTGGGCGGGTGGGGGAATGTGGAGGGCGGATGGGGGAATGTGGGCGGATGGGGGAATGTGGAGGGCGGATGGGGGAATGTGGGTGGATGGGGGAATGAGGGTGGATGGGGGAATGTGGGCGGGTGGGGGAATGTGGAGGGCGGATGGGGGAATGTGGGCGGATGGGGGAATGTGGAGGGCGGATGGGGGAATGTGGGTGGATGGGGGAATGAGGGTGGATGGGGGAATGTGGGCGGGTGGGGGAATGTGGAGGGCGGATGGGGGAATGTGGGCGGATGGGGGAATGTGGAGGGCGGATGGGGGAATGTGGGCGGATGGGGGAATGTGGAGGGCGGATGGGGGAATGTGGAGGGCGGATGGGGGAATGTGGGTGGATGGGGGAATGTGGGTGGATGGGGGAATGTGGGTGGATGGGGGTATGTGGGTGGATGGGGGAATGTGGGTGGATGGGGGAATGAGGGTGGATGGGGGAATGAGGGTGGATGGGGGAATGTGGGTGGATGGGGGAATTTGGGCGGATGGGGGAATGTGGAGGGCGGATGGGGGAATGTGGAGAGCGGATGGGGGAATGTGGGCGGATGGGGGAATGTGGGTGGATGGGGGAATGAGGGTGGATGGGGGAATGAGGGTGGATGGGGGAATGTGGGTGGATGGGGGAATGTGGGTGGATGGGGGAATGTGGGTGGATGGGGGAATGTGGGTGGATGGGGGAATGTGGGTGGATGGGGGAATGAGGGTGGATGGGGGAATGAGGGTGGATGGGGGAATGTGGGTGGATGGGGGAATGTGGGCGGGTGGGGGAATGAGGGTGGAGGGGGAATGAGGGTGGATGGGAGAATGAGGGTGGATGGGGGAATGAGGGTGGATGGGGGAATGTGGGTGGATGGGGGAATGTGGGTGGATGGGGGAATGAGGGTGGATGGGGGAATGAGGGTGGATGGGGGAATGTGGGCGGATGGGGGAATGTGGGTGGATGGGGGAATGTGGGTGGATGGGGGAATGTGGGTGGATGGGGGAATGAGGGTGGATGAGAGAATGAGGGTGGAGGGGGAATGAGGGTGGATGGGGGAATGAGGGTGGATGAGGGAATGAGGGTGGAGGGGGAATGAGGGTGGATGGGGGAATGAGGGTGGATGGGGGAATGAGGGTGGATGGGGGAATGTGGGCGGATGGGGGAATGTGGGTGGATGGGGGAATGTGGGTGGATGGGGGAATGTGGGTGGATGGGGGAATGAGGGTGGATGAGAGAATGAGGGTGGAGGGGGAATGAGGGTGGATGGGGGAATGAGGGTGGATGGGGGAATGTGGGTGGATGGGGGAATGAGGGTGGATGAGAGAATGAGGGTGGAGGGGGAATGAGGGTGGATGGGGGAATGAGGGTGGATGGGGGAATGAGGGTGGATGGGGGAATGTGGGTGGATGGGGGAATGAGGGTGGATGGGGGAATGTGGGCGGGTGGGGGAATGTGGAGGGCGGATGGGGGAATGTGGAGGGCGGATGGGGGAATGTGGAGGGAGGATGGGGGAATGTGGGCGGATGGGGGAATGTGGGCGGATGGGGGAATGTGGGTGGATGGGGGAATGTGGGTGGATGGGGGAATGTGGGCGGATGGGGGAATGAGGGTGGATGGGGGAATGAGGGTGGAGGGGGAATGAGGGTGGATGGGGGAATGAGGGTGGATGGGGGAATGTGGGTGGATGGGGGAATGAGGGTGGATGAGGGAATGAGGGTGGATGGGGGAATGAGGGTGGATGGGGGAATGAGGGTGGATGGGGGAATGTGGGTGGATGGGGGAATGTGGGTGGATGGGGGAATGAGGGTGGATGGGGGAATGTGGGCGGGTGGGGGAATGTGGAGGGCGGATGGGGGAATGTGGAGGGCGGATGGGGGAATGTGGGCGGATGGGGGAATGTGGGTGGATGGGGGAATGTGGGTGGATGGGGGAATGTGGGTGGATGGGGGAATGTGGGTGGATGGGGGAATGAGGGTGGATGGGGGAATGTGGGTGGATGGGGGAATGAGGGTGGATGGGGGAATGTGGGTGGATGGGGGAATGTGGAGGGCGGATGGGGGAATGTGGGCGGATGGGGGAATGTGGGTGGATGGGGGAATGTGGGTGGATGGGGGAATGTGGGTGGATGGGGGAATGTGGGTGGATGGGGGAATGTGGGTGGATGGGGGAATGTGGGCGGGTGGGGGAATGTGGAGGGCGGATGGGGGAATGTGGGCGGATGGGGGAATGTGGAGGGCGGATGGGGGAATGTGGGTGGATGGGGGAATGAGGGTGGATGGGGGAATGTGGGCGGGTGGGGGAATGTGGAGGGCGGATGGGGGAATGTGGGCGGATGGGGGAATGTGGAGGGCGGATGGGGGAATGTGGGTGGATGGGGGAATGAGGGTGGATGGGGGAATGTGGGCGGGTGGGGGAATGTGGAGGGCGGATGGGGGAATGTGGGCGGATGGGGGAATGTGGAGGGCGGATGGGGGAATGTGGGCGGATGGGGGAATGTGGAGGGCGGATGGGGGAATGTGGAGGGCGGATGGGGGAATGTGGGTGGATGGGGGAATGTGGGTGGATGGGGGAATGTGGGTGGATGGGGGTATGTGGGTGGATGGGGGAATGTGGGTGGATGGGGGAATGAGGGTGGATGGGGGAATGAGGGTGGATGGGGGAATGTGGGTGGATGGGGGAATTTGGGCGGATGGGGGAATGTGGAGGGCGGATGGGGGAATGTGGAGAGCGGATGGGGGAATGTGGGCGGATGGGGGAATGTGGGTGGATGGGGGAATGAGGGTGGATGGGGGAATGAGGGTGGATGGGGAATGTGGGTGGATGGGGGAATGTGGGTGGATGGGGGAATGTGGGTGGATGGGGGAATGTGGGTGGATGGGGGAATGTGGGTGGATGGGGGAATGAGGGTGGATGGGGGAATGAGGGTGGATGGGGGAATGTGGGTGGATGGGGGAATGTGGGCGGGTGGGGGAATGAGGGTGGAGGGGGAATGAGGGTGGATGGGAGAATGAGGGTGGATGGGGGAATGAGGGTGGATGGGGGAATGTGGGTGGATGGGGGAATGTGGGTGGATGGGGGAATGAGGGTGGATGGGGGAATGAGGGTGGATGGGGGAATGTGGGCGGATGGGGGAATGTGGGTGGATGGGGGAATGTGGGTGGATGGGGGAATGTGGGTGGATGGGGGAATGAGGGTGGATGAGAGAATGAGGGTGGAGGGGGAATGAGGGTGGATGGGGGAATGAGGGTGGATGAGGGAATGAGGGTGGAGGGGGAATGAGGGTGGATGGGGGAATGAGGGTGGATGGGGGAATGAGGGTGGATGGGGGAATGTGGGCGGATGGGGGAATGTGGGTGGATGGGGGAATGTGGGTGGATGGGGGAATGTGGGTGGATGGGGGAATGAGGGTGGATGAGAGAATGAGGGTGGAGGGGGAATGAGGGTGGATGGGGGAATGAGGGTGAATGGGGGAATGAGGGTGGATGGGGGAATGTGGGCGGGTGGGGGAATGAGGGTGGATGGGGGAATGTGGGCGGGTGGGGGAATGTGGAGGGCGGATGGGGGAATGTGGAGGGCGGATGGGGGAATGTGGAGGGAGGATGGGGGAATGTGGGCGGATGGGGGAATGTGGGCGGATGGGGGAATGTGGGTGGATGGGGGAATGTGGGTGGATGGGGGAATGTGGGCGGATGGGGGAATGAGGGTGGATGGGGGAATGAGGGTGGAGGGGGAATGAGGGTGGATGGGGGAATGAGGGTGGATGGGGGAATGTGGGTGGATGGGGGAATGAGGGTGGATGAGGGAATGAGGGTGGATGGGGGAATGAGGGTGGATGGGGGAATGTGGGTGGATGGGGGAATGTGGGTGGATGGGGGAATGAGGGTGGATGGGGGAATGTGGGCGGGTGGGGGAATGTGGAGGGCGGATGGGGGAATGTGGGCGGATGGGGGAATGTGGAGGGCGGATGGGGGAATGTGGGCGGATGGGGGAATGTGGAGGGCGGATGGGGGAATGTGGAGGGCGGATGGGGGAATGTGGGCGGATGGGGGAATGTGGGTGGATGGGGGAATGTGGGTGGATGGGGGTATGTGGGTGGATGGGGGAATGTGGGTGGATGGGGGAATGAGGGTGGATGGGGGAATGAGGGTGGATGGGGGAATGTGGGTGGATGGGGGAATGTGGGCGGATGGGGGAATGTGGAGGGCGGATGGGGGAATGTGGAGAGCGGATGGGGGAATGTGGGCGGATGGGGGAATGTGGGTGGATGGGGGAATGAGGGTGGATGGGGGAATGAGGGTGGATGGGGGAATGTGGGTGGATGGGGAATGTGGGTGGATGGGGGAATGTGGGTGGATGGGGGAATGTGGGTGGATGGGGGAATGTGGGTGGATGGGGGAATGAGGGTGGATGGGGGAATGAGGGTGGATGGGGGAATGTGGGTGGATGGGGGAATGTGGGCGGGTGGGGGAATGAGGGTGGAGGGGGAATGAGGGTGGATGGGAGAATGAGGGTGGATGGGGGAATGAGGGTGGATGGGGGAATGTGGGTGGATGGGGGAATGTGGGTGGATGGGGGAATGAGGGTGGATGGGGGAATGAGGGTGGATGAGGGAATGAGGGTGGAGGGGGAGTGAGGGTGGATGGGGGAATGAGGGTGGATGGGGGAATGAGGGTGGATGGGGGAATGTGGGTGGATGGGGGAATGTGGGTGGATGGGGGAATGTGGGTGGATGGGGGAATGAGGGTGGATGGGAGAATGAGGGTGGATGGGGGAATGAGGGTGGATGGGGGAATGTGGGTGGATGGGGGAATGTGGGTGGATGGGGGAATGAGGGTGGATGGGGGAACGAGGGTGGATGAGGGAATGAGGGTGGAGGGGGAATGAGGGTGGATGGGGGAATGAGGGTGGATGGGGGAATGAGGGTGGATGGGGGAATGTGGGCGGGTGGGGGAATGTGGAGGGCGGATGGGGGAATGTGGAGGGTGGATGGGGGAATGTGGGCGGATGGGGGAATGTGGAGGGCGGATGGGGGAATGTGGGTGGATGGGGGAATGTGGAGGGCGGATGGGGGAATGTGGAGGGCGGATGGGGGAATGTGGGCGGATGGGGGAATGTGGGTGGATGGGGGAATGAGGGTGGATGGGGGAATGTGGGTGGATGGGGGAATGTGGGTGGATGGGGGTATGTGGGTGGATGGGGGAATGTGGGTGGATGGGGGAATGAGGGTGGATGGGGGAATGTGGGCGGGTGGGGGAATGTGGAGGGCGGATGGGGGAATGTGGGCGGATGGGGGAATGTGGAGGGCGGATGGGGGAATGTGGGCGGATGGGGGAATGTGGAGGGCGGATGGGGGAATGTGGGCGGATGGGGGAATGTGGAGGGCGGATGGGGGAATGTGGAGAGCGGATGGGGGAATGTGGGCGGATGGGGGAATGTGGGTGGATGGGGGAATGAGGGTGGATGGGGGAATGAGGGTGGATGGGGGAATGTGGGCGGGTGGGGGAATGTGGAGGGCGGATGGGGGAATGTGGAGGGTGGATGGGGGAATGTGGGCGGATGGGGGAATGTGGAGGGCGGATGGGGGAATGTGGGCGGATGGGGGAATGTGGAGGGCGGATGGGGGAATGTGGAGGGCGGATGGGGGAATGTGGGCGGATGGGGGAATGTGGGTGGATGGGGGAATGAGGGTGGATGGGGGAATGTGGGTGGATGGGGGAATGTGGGTGGATGGGGGTATGTGGGTGGATGGGGGAATGTGGGTGGATGGGGGAATGAGGGTGGATGGGGGAATGTGGGCGGGTGGGGGAATGTGGAGGGCGGATGGGGGAATGTGGGCGGATGGGGGAATGTGGAGGGCGGATGGGGGAATGTGGGCGGATGGGGGAATGTGGAGGGCGGATGGAGGAATGTGGAGGGCGGATGGGGGAATGTGGGCGGATGGGGGAATGTGGAGGGCGGATGGGGGAATGTGGAGAGCGGATGGGGGAATGTGGGCGGATGGGGGAATGTGGGTGGATGGGGGAATGTGGGTGGATGGGGGAATGAGGGTGGATGGGGGAATGAGGGTGGATGGGGGAATGTGGGTGGATGGGGGAATGTGGGTGGATGGGGGAATGTGGGTGGATGGGGGAATGAGGGTGGATGGGGGAATGTGGGTGGATGGGGGAATGTGGGTGGATGGGGGAATGAGGGTGGATGGGGGAATGAGGGTGGATGGGGGAATGTGGGTGGATGGGGGAATGTGGGCGGGTGGGGGAATGAGGGTGGAGGGGGAATGAGGGTGGATGGGAGAATGAGGGTGGATGGGGGAATGAGGGTGGATGGGGAATGTGGGTGGATGGGGGAATGTGGGTGGATGGGGGAATGAGGGTGGATGGGGGAATGTGGGTGGATGGGGGAATGTGGGTGGATGGGGGAATGAGGGTGGATGAGGGAATGAGGGTGGAGGGGGAATGAGGGTGGATGGGGGAATGAGGGTGGATGGGGGAATGAGGGTGGATGGGGGAATGTGGGCGGATGGGGGAATGTGGGTGGATGGGGGAATGTGGGTGGATGGGGGAATGTGGGTGGATGGGGGAATGAGGGTGGATGAGAGAATGAGGGTGGAGGGGGAATGAGGGTGGATGGGGGAATGAGGGTGGATGGGGGAATGAGGGTGGATGGGGGAATGTGGGCGGGTGGGGGAATGAGGGTGGATGGGGGAATGTGGGCGGGTGGGGGAATGTGGAGGGCGGATGGGGGAATGTGGAGGGCGGATGGGGGAATGTGGAGGGAGGATGGGGGAATGTGGGCGGATGGGGGAATGTGGGCGGATGGGGGAATGTGGGTGGATGGGGGAATGTGGGTGGATGGGGGAATGTGGGCGGATGGGGGAATGAGGGTGGATGGGGGAATGAGGGTGGAGGGGGAATGAGGGTGGATGGGGGAATGAGGGTGGATGGGGGAATGTGGGTGGATGGGGGAATGAGGGTGGATGAGGGAATGAGGGTGGATGGGGGAATGAGGGTGGATGGGGGAATGTGGGTGGATGGAGGAATGTGGGTGGATGGGGGAATGAGGGTGGATGGGGGAATGTGGGCGGGTGGGGGAATGTGGAGGGCGGATGGGGGAATGTGGAGGGCGGATGGGGGAATGTGGGCGGATGGGGGAATGTGGGTGGATGGGGGAATGTGGGTGGATGGGGGAATGTGGGTGGATGGGGGAATGTGGGTGGATGGGGGAATGAGGGTGGATGGGGGAATGTGGGTGGATGGGGGAATGAGGGTGGATGGGGGAATGTGGGTGGATGGGGGAATGTGGAGGGCGGATGGGGGAATGTGGGCGGATGGGGGAATGTGGGTGGATGGGGGAATGTGGGTGGATGGGGGAATGTGGGTGGATGGGGGAATGTGGGTGGATGGGGGAATGTGGGTGGATGGGGGTATGTGGGTGGATGGGGGAATGTGGGTGGATGGGGGAATGAGGGTGGATGGGGGAATGTGGGCGGGTGGGGGAATGTGGAGGGCGGATGGGGGAATGTGGGCGGATGGGGGAATGTGGAGGGCGGATGGGGGAATGTGGGCGGATGGGGGAATGTGGAGGGCGGATGGGGGAATGTGGAGGGCGGATGGGGGAATGTGGGCGGATGGGGGAATGTGGGTGGATGGGGGAATGTGGGTGGATGGGGGTATGTGGGTGGATGGGGGAATGTGGGTGGATGGGGGAATGAGGGTGGATGGGGGAATGAGGGTGGATGGGGGAATGTGGGTGGATGGGGGAATGTGGGCGGATGGGGGAATGTGGAGGGCGGATGGGGGAATGTGGAGAGCGGATGGGGGAATGTGGGCGGATGGGGGAATGTGGGTAGATGGGGGAATGAGGGTGGATGGGGGAATGAGGGTGGATGGGGGAATGTGGGTGGATGGGGGAATGTGGGTGGATGGGGGAATGTGGGTGGATGGGGGAATGTGGGTGGATGGGGGAATGTGGGTGGATGGGGGAATGAGGGTGGATGGGGGAATGAGGGTGGATGGGGGAATGTGGGTGGATGGGGGAATGTGGGTGGATGGGGGAATGAGGGTGGATGGGAGAATGAGGGTGGATGGGGGAATGAGGGTGGATGGGGGAATGTGGGTGGATGGGGGAATGTGGGTGGATGGGGGAATGAGGGTGGATGGGGGAATGAGGGTGGATGGGGGAATGTGGGTGGATGGGGGAATGTGGGTGGATGGGGGAATGAGGGTGGATGGGGGAATGAGGGTGGATGAGGGAATGAGGGTGGAGGGGGAATGAGGGTGGATGGGGGAATGAGGGTGGATGGGGGAATGAGGGTGGATGGGGGAATGTGGGCGGGTGGGGGAATGTGGAGGGCGGATGGGGGAATGTGGAGGGTGGATGGGGGAATGTGGGCGGATGGGGGAATGTGGAGGGCGGATGGGGGAATGTGGGCGGATGGGGGAATGTGGAGGGCGGATGGGGGAATGTGGAGGGCGGATGGGGGAATGTGGGCGGATGGGGGAATGTGGGTGGATGGGGGAATGAGGGTGGATGGGGGAATGTGGGTGGATGGGGGAATGTGGGTGGATGGGGGTATGTGGGTGGATGGGGGAATGTGGGTGGATGGGGGAATGAGGGTGGATGGGGGAATGTGGGCGGGTGGGGGAATGTGGAGGGCGGATGGGGGAATGTGGGCGGATGGGGGAATGTGGAGGGCGGATGGGGGAATGTGGGCGGATGGGGGAATGTGGAGGGCGGATGGAGGAATGTGGAGGGCGGATGGGGGAATGTGGGCGGATGGGGGAATGTGGAGGGCGGATGGGGGAATGTGGAGAGCGGATGGGGGAATGTGGGCGGATGGGGGAATGTGGGTGGATGGGGGAATGAGGGTGGTTGGGGGAATGAGGGTGGATGGGGGAATGTGGGCGGGTGGGGGAATGTGGAGGGCGGATGGGGGAATGTGGAGGGTGGATGGGGGAATGTGGGCGGATGGGGGAATGTGGAGGGCGGATGGGGGAATGTGGGCGGATGGGGGAATGTGGAGGGCGGATGGGGGAATGTGGAGGGCGGATGGGGGAATGTGGGCGGATGGGGGAATGTGGGTGGATGGGGGAATGAGGGTGGATGGGGGAATGTGGGTGGATGGGGGAATGTGGGTGGATGGGGGTATGTGGGTGGATGGGGGAATGTGGGTGGATGGGGGAATGAGGGTGGATGGGGGAATGTGGGCGGGTGGGGGAATGTGGAGGGCGGATGGGGGAATGTGGGCGGATGGGGGAATGTGGAGGGCGGATGGGGGAATGTGGGCGGATGGGGGAATGTGGAGGGCGGATGGAGGAATGTGGAGGGCGGATGGGGGAATGTGGGCGGATGGGGGAATGTGGAGGGCGGATGGGGGAATGTGGAGAGCGGATGGGGGAATGTGGGCGGATGGGGGAATGTGGGTGGATGGGGGAATGTGGGTGGATGGGGGTATGTGGGTGGATGGGGGAATGTGGGTGGATGGGGGAATGAGGGTGGATGGGGGAATGAGGGTGGATGGGGGAATGTGGGTGGATGGGGGAATGTGGGTGGATGGGGGAATGTGGGTGGATGGGGGAATGAGGGTGGATGGGGGAATGTGGGTGGATGGGGGAATGTGGGTGGATGGGGGAATGTGGGTGGATGGGGGAATGTGGGTGGATGGGGGAATGTGGGTGGATGGGGGAATGTGGGTGGATGGGGGAATGTGGGTGGATGGGGGAATGAGGGTGGATGGGGGAATGAGGGTGGATGGGGGTGCATATGGGTGGAATTGCAGCAGTGTAACAGGGCAAGGACACCGTGTGTTGAAGCAGAACCCTTTGTGTCACAAAGAACGGCACAGTGTGCACGCACCTCTCCCCCTAACCAAGCCTCTCCGTGCCACCGTCCACGTGCTTGCCACCCCACCCCACCCCACGGTGCACGACACATGGGTGCAGGCCGCGTGACGAGGTGAGAGAGCTGTTCCACAACACCATGCAGCAGCTCAGAGGCAACAGCAGCACCACCGCCGCAATGCAGCAGCGAGTGGCGGCGGTGGGCATTCACATCCGCGTGCAGGACGAGGTGGTGTGGGCGGGTGACAGAGGCAAGCCCAAGGACCTGGAGCAGCAGCAGATCGATGCGCTGCTGGGGGAGGCCAAGCAGTGGCTCGACTGCGCTCAGGTGTGGGGAAGGGGAGGGTGAGAGCGGTATGGGTGGATGGGTGATGGGTGGATGACTGGATGGGTGCATGCATGTGTGTGTGGTTGCATGTATGTATGGGTCTATGGGTCATGAGTGGATGGGAGGGGATGCGATGGTGCCATTGGTTGAGGGTTGCTGTGGAAACGTGTGCACACATGGAGTTGTGATGGGCGTTGTGATGAGATGATGCTAATGGCCGTGTCAGCCCACGCGGTTCACGTAACTCACAGGCCCATTGCATCACCGCACTACCGAACTGCTCTCTTACCATCCACTGTGTATAACACCCGCTTCCTTACCCACTTTCTCACTCATGTCTACTCACCAGACAATTCTGCTTCTCCCATTGTGATGGATTCTCTTGTTTCCCCCGACTTCAACGCTTTCTCATATCTCCAGCGGGTGGAGGAGTTCTGGTTCCCGTCGTCCCTTGCGGTGCGCTGGATGCTCATCAGCAACTCCGCGCAGCTCAAGGCTGCCATCAAATCCAAATACCCTGGAAAGGTGTGCGTGCGTGCATGCGTGGGTGGTGAGTGAGTAACTTAGTGGGTGGGTGAGTGAGAACTGAGTGGGTGGGTGAGTGGGTAACTGAGAGGGTGAGTGAGTAACTGAGTTGGTGGGTTGGTGAGTGAGTAACTGAGTGGGTGGGTGAGTGAGTAACAGGGTGGGTGGGTGAGTGGGTAACTGAGTGGGTGGGTGAGTGAGTAACTGAGTGGGTGGGTGAGTGAGTAACTGGGTGGGTGGGTGAGTGAGTAACTGGGTGGGTGGGTGGGTGAGGCACTGACTGACTCAGGGACTGACTGTCACGCTGCCAGTACTGCTGGTGCAGGACAGAGGGGAGGATGTTTTTTGTTTTTTTTTTTTTTAGGGGAGGATGCTTCAGTTTACCTCTAGCTGTTTGACAGTAGCTTCTGAACCTGATGGCTAAGAGAGAAGCACGCAGTAGCTTCATGCAGGCACCGGACATTGATCACCAAACCAGCATTTGCAATTCACTCATGTAGACGCACAAAGCGGGTCTTGGCGTTTCCAGCCGTGAGTCGCCTCCCATCCCCCAGTTGCTCAATTCAAATGCTTCTAGGTCCCCTGTTGCCACACCAGCCCTTAGAGAAGAGATTGAAAAGTTCTCAGGAGAAACACTTCCAGAACTGTGTTAGATCTCTGAATCCCAGAAACGTTTCCTACCCAGGGGGACAAGCAACTGCTCTCTTCCTCACGGCTGGCGCTCGCATGGTTTACTTCGCATGGTCTAGTTTGCACTGACTAATCACAAGTCATGATGGATCGCCCCAGGAAATGGGGGAAGGGAGGGCGTAGATAAGGGTCTTGTATGAAGCCATGCTTTTGGAACAAAGTGCATCCTGCCTACATGGTGTCCCTGTTTGCGTGCAGGTCGTCACAACCGAGTTTGTCCCACGGCATTCCAACAGCCTCGCATCAGTGAAGCAGAAGGGCGTCTTTAACCTAAAGGGCAGCGAGCAAGACCAAGCAAGGATGTTCCAGGAGCTAGTCACAGAGTGGTTGCTCCTAGCGGCCTGTGATGCATACGTGATTTCTAGATCTGGGTACTCGCACACGGCAGTGTTTTACTCCATGCGGACACTTTCAATCTTCGAGTATGACAGGTGTGACCCTGAGCAACCAACTGAGGCAACGTACATAGGGGGAGATTGGAGTGGAATTTGATGAGTCTAGGTTTCCTTGAAGGCTTCAATTTTCATCCCCATTGCCCTTATTCAAGGGGTCGGCAGAAACACAGCGTGCACACTTTGGCAGTCTGACTCCTTGTCTGGTGTGGTGTCTAATGTGTTGCCACAACAGAAGAGCATAGTAAAATCATCAAGAACAAGACAAATGGATGATGAGGGCATACGGAGGTGGTATATCTAGCAACTCAAACACTCGATAGCACTCTATGTGACGTCGTAGAGGACAGGCAGTTTGAGCTGGAGTTCTTGACTGTCGCTTCTCCCCATCTCTGTACCATGTTGCAAGCCCCTAAGGGAGACCTCGACGCCCTTGACATACCGACTCCTCGCACGTACCGTGAGGCAGTGTCAGGGCCGTGGGCCTCTCAGTGATTAGCGACCAAGAGATACCGTCATCACCCGGATATAAGACAGTGTTGAATAGAAGACAGGGGGTGTCTATTATCCGGGTGTCTCTTATAAACGGGGTAGCCTCATTATAAGACACCTATTTGTGTGTACGAGTTAAGCCAGTGTAGGGGTTAGGGGCAATTGTATAACGAGGGGGTATCTTCTAAACGGTTCTTTGTCCATTTATAAGACTTATAAGACACCCTAAACCGTCCCAAATACAAGACAGCTCAAGCATTTCTGCCCGTGTACGAGATAAGACATATATGTCTTATATCCGGGCGATGACGGTAGCGTCTTCGAGATCCACAAGCACTTACGTCGATGCAATCCCCCCTCCTGGGGAGAACGTAGTCGATGACATTTGGATCTTCAAGGTGAAGCGGCCGCCTGGATCCCCGCATGTCTTAAAGGCGTGCTACGTGGCTAGAGGCTTCAGTCAGCGTGAGGGAGTTGACTTCTTCCAGACCTTCGCCCCGACCCCGAAGATGACCACTCTTCGGGTGTTACTGCACGTTGCAGCACAGCGAGGCTACAAGCTGCACTCGCTGGACTTCTCCACTGCCTTTATCCAGGGCCGCCTGCATGTGGAGATATGGCCGCCTCGTCCTCGTGGCTTCACTTGCGCTTTCCCGCCTGGGACCCAGTGGAGCCTGAGACGACCAGTCTACGGTCTCCGCCAGTCGCCCCGTGAGTGGCACGTCACTCTTCGCTCCACACTTGTTGACCTTGGTTTCAGACCTTCTACCGCCTACCCGTCGCTGTTTGTTAGTTCTGGGCCCACACCTTTCTTCGTCCTCGTCTACGTCGACGACTTGGTCTTCGCTATAGCCGACAGGGTTGCTCTGACTGAGGTGAAATCCGAACTGCAGAAAAGACATACGTGCACTGACCTTGGTGAACTGCGCTGCTACCTTGGCTTGCAGATTACGAGGGACAGAGCAGCTCGTACCATCACACTGACTCAGTCACACATGGAAACAATCCGTGTTTTCCCTGAAGGGGGTTTCTCGGTCGTAAACATTTGTAACTGATTTAACGACTTTGAGCGATTTCGTTTAGTTCACAACCGGTCCTAAAAAAAAACCGGTCCTAGGCTAGGACCTGCTCTGAAACCATGTCAGAAGTACGAACGAGAATCAATGAACTAGCAGCATGCAGGAGTACAAGTAGCAAACCCTAATTGGATTGTACCCCATATGGTACCCCACTATAGCCTACACAACAAATAACATATAAGTTTGACACACCCCCATAGGCAAAGTGGGGGAGAACAAGAGGTCACAAAACCAGCCAAGAAAAGCAAAGCAAGCTCAGGGTGGATCACGAAGTCACCACACACTCCGAGCACAAGCAAATGGCCACAAGGCCAGTTCACATGCAGAGTTATATAATGGAGATCAAGCAGTACAGTGATCAAAACCTAGCAAGTATAAGCATGCAGGTACAAGTATATAGATCACAATACAAGCAAAGTCAAGAAGTGAGCAAGTGAGACCAAGTAGGCACAAGCCCTAGAACAGTACAGAAACGCTGATGATCACAAGGCTGAAGTGCCTTGGTGAATATATCAGCAGTGTTGGCCCGAGAGGCCACGTAAGCAAGACGAAGCTGACCACGCTGCTGCAACTCTCGAGCAAGGAAGTAGCATAGCGATGTGCTTCGTTCTGTGCTCCAGTCTGTGCTCCTGACACCAGGCAATCATGGCCTTGTTGTCGACGTACAGAACTGGGGGAGAACGAGGCTGCTCTCCCAAGTCAGTCAGCAGGTAGGTGAGCCAGCGTAACTCCTGTGCAGCCATGGCCCCTGCGTAGATCTCAGCCTCACAACTGGAGCTGAGAACAGAAGACGAGCGGGTAGACCGCCACGAAATAGAGCCGGCGCCAAGGCTGAAAGTGTAACCCTGTGACGACCGCTGAGTAGCCAAGTCGTCAACCCAAGAAGCGTCTGCGTGGCCAATGAGGACAACTCGAGCCCGTCCTCCAAGCACGAGCCCCATGCCCGACGTACTGCACAAGTAGCGCAACACCCTCTTAGAGACCTCCATGTGCTCTGGTCGGTGTCTCCCGGGCGCAACGTAGCGTGCCAGGATGCTAAGAGGGTAGGCAAGGTCAGGTCGAGTGCAGGTCATCAGGTACACGAGGCAGCCCACAAGCTCTGGATACAGGCCACTCGGCTCTACGGACTCATCCGAAGGCAGAGCTGAGAGTGAATGACCGGTAGGCAGAGGAGTGGACTGTGGCGAGGAGTACGTGAAGCCGAAGAGCTGAAGGACCTGCTGCACCATGTGTGACTGAGTCAAGGTAATGGTGCGCTGTGCTCTGTCCCGCGTGATCTGCAAGCCAAGATAGCTGCGTAGCTCACCCAGGTCAGTGCACGTGTGTCTCTTCTGCAGCTCCGACTTCACAAAGGCCAGTCCCGCAATGTCAGCAGTGGCAAAGACCAAGTCGTCGATGTACACGAGGATGTAGAATGGCGGCAGAGAAGTGTCAGTGCGTAGAAACAGCGACGGGTCAGCAGTCGAAGGAGCAAACCCAAGAGCCGCAAGCGTCGTCCTCAGTGCGTCGTGCCGCTCGCGAGGCGCCTGGCGGAGACCGTAGACTGGCCGCCGGAGTCTCCACTGGGTACCTGCATGAAACGACCCAGTAAAGCCAGGTGGGCAGCGCAGCCAGATCTCCTCGTGCTGGCTGCCCTGTAAGAAGGCTGTGCTGAAGTCAAGAGAGTGAAGCTTGTAGTCGCACTGAGCGGCGACGTGCAGCAGCACCCGAAGAGTGGTCATCTTCAGGTTAGGGGAGAAGGTCTGGAAGAAGTCAACTCCCTGTCGCTGACTGAAGCCTCGAGCAACGTAACGCGCCTTGAAGACAGGCGGAGAACCCGGCGGCCGCTTCACCCTGAAAATCCACAGGCCACTGACGATGTTCGCCCCAGGTGGGGGAACCTCGTCGACGTAGGTGCCTGTGGACTTCCAGGAAGCCATCTCTGCGTCCATGGTTGTTTGCCACTTAGAGGAGTAGGGACCCTCAATTGCCTCTGCATAAGAGCGCGGGGTCGGGATGTCTGGTGCATCCGGGTCTCCCTCAGGTGCAATCAGCATGGACACGGGATGAGGTACAGAAGCTGCAAAACACTCAAAGTCCTCCTGCCTGTCCTCAAGGACGTCCATGCCAAGGGCACACTCACCCCCAACGGACGGAGGACAATCAGACTCAGACCCAGCAACAAGACTAGCAGCGTAGTCAAGGCGACAGGCGGCAGCAAAGTCAACAAGCTCAGCAACTAGGACAGACGCAGCCGTGGACTCAAACGAAGGGTCAGTGACAACAGTGGCTAGACGACGTGTGACAGTAGGACTGGCAGCACGAGCAAGGTCTGACAACGGGTCAGCAACGTCAGGAAGAGAGGACGCAGGATGAGACGGCAGAGGGACACGCTGTGGAAAAGAGGAAGGACGAAGTGCCATCTGGTGCGTGCCTGGGACAGGAGGAGGACGCTGACGCGGAACACGAAGACAAGTGCGAACAACGCGAACATGCGACGCAGGACGAGACGCAGGCTCACGGCGCTCTCCTAAACCGCCTGTGTGCTCAGTGTAAGGAGAAGGAGCAGGCAGTGGGGAGGCTGGCTGTAACTACGACTGTGACTGGTCAGGCGATGGACACAGTAAGGGAGGAGTAGAGCCAGAAGAAGGCGGGAGACCCAGAATCTGCTGAAGCAGTGGAACGAAGTACGGTCGCGGCCGCACCGTGCCTCCAGAACCATCACCGACAGCACCAGTACCCCCAACTTTAGGGTCTCCAGCTCCAACGCCTCCAATACCACCAGCTCCAGCACCTCCAGCAGCTCCAGCTAAAGCGCCTCCAGCTCCAACTCATGCAGCACCTCCAGCTCCAGTACCTCCAGTACGAGCACCTCCGGAACCAGCGGCTCCAGCGCCTCCAGCAGCTCCGGCTCCAGCGCCTCCAGCTCCAACTCCTGCAGCACCTCCAGCTCAAGCAGCTCCAATACCTCAAGTACGAGCACCTCCGGGACCAGCGGCTCCACCACCTCCAGCAGCGCCAACTCCAGCGCCTCCAGCTCCAACTCCTGTAGTACCTCCAGTTCCAGCAGCTCCAGTACGTCTAGTACGAGCACCTCCGGGACTAGCGGCTCCAACACCTCCAGCAGCTCCAGCTCCAACGCCGGCAGCACCTCCAGCTCCAGCAGCACCACTCCGGAGGCTCAAGCGCCGTGAAAACCTCTCGCGCAACTGCGGTGAAGAGAGAGGCTCCCGCCGTGACGAGGCACCTGTAGGACCTCCAGCAAACTCAGCACCCGCAGGGTCAGCACCCGCAGGCCCAGCACCCCCAGGCTCAGCACCCCCAGGCTCAGCACCCCCAGACTCAGCAACCTCAGGCTCAGCACCCCCAGGCTCTGCACGCTCAAGCTCAGCACCCCCAGGCTCCTCCCACTCAGGCTCAGCACCCCCAGCGGCACCACCCCCAGCAGCACCAGAGTCGACAGCGACCTCGACAGGCTCGACAGGGTCTACCTGAGACACACCTGAGGGAGCAGGACCCTGAGGGGGGAGGGGGTCTACCGGAGGAGGACCTGGTGCGAGGAAGAGCGGCGGGGGGGGGGGGGGGGGGGGAGAGGGGCAGTGTGGTAGGGGAAGAGACGGTAAAAGGGAACCGACTTGTCAAACGTGACGTCCTGAGAGGGCAGGACACGGCGCGAGGTGGGGTGGTAAAACTGCCAGCCAGGCGCGTCAGGGGGAAAACCAAGGAAGACGCAGGGAATGGCGCGGGAGGAGAGCTTGTCCGCGGACGTATCGCGGACAAAGGCACGAGAACCCTAGACCCGGAACAGCGACGCACCGAATTCTCCGTCCAACGCAGTGTAGGCGAGGTCTCCGGCAAGGAGACACGGGGCCAGATGTTGAGCTGATGCCCAGCATACCGGACCGCAAACGGCCACAGAAAATGGGGGGCAGCCGCATGGACCATGGAGGTATGAGCGACCTCCATGACTAAGCCAATGCGGCGCTCAGCAACCCCATTCTGCTGCGGAGAGGCCGGAAGCTTGAACGACAGGAGAATGCCCTCCCCACGATAAAAGTCCCGCAAGAGGTCGGAGGAAAACTCACCACCTCTGTCAGAGTGCAGACGCAGGACTGGAAGGTCCGTCTGAAACCGCTTGCGGAGCTGGAGACGGACAGCGCGGAGACAATGGATCAAAACATCAGGGACCTCCCCCTTGCTGCGCAAGGGGAAGACCGTGGTGTAACGCGAGTAGTCGTCAACAACCAGCAGAAGTAGCGCTCGCGGCCCTGTCCACGGACGCGGGCTGGGCCCCACACGTCCATGTGGAGAGTCTGCAGGGGAGCAGACGTCGGGGGAAACGAGGAGGAGTGAGGAGCGGCGCGCTGCCGCCCCTCGACACAGGGAAGGGAGGGAGGGGCAGGCGAGGGTGGGAGGGGAGGCAGAGTTCTGGGAAGACCAGAGACAAGGAGACGGGAGTGCATGCCACGGAGGCGCTGCACTGAGGGGTGACCAAGACGGTGGTGCCAAAGGAGGGTCCGGTGCGACAGAGCACGCTACGAGCAGGGGGCCGCTAGCTGACCTGACGCAGACGCAGACGCAGCTACCTGAGGAGACACAGTAGTCAGTGTGTACAGACTCGAGCCAGGCGCACGGGTGAACGTGGCCAGGTGCCGGCCAGTCCGGGAGCACGTACAGATCACCACACGCTGTCCTCATGGAGTAAAGGTGTCAACCCATACATCCTGAAGGACGGCGTTGCTCACCAAGTTCGTAGAGATCGAGGGGAGGTGGAGACCTGACAGTGAGCCAGACGGAACCGCCGGACACGGGAGAACAGTGGAGGAACGTGCAAGGACTGGGCCCCCAGAGGGGTCAGCCAGAGAGACAGCAACAAGTGCAGGGAGCGGTGTGACTGTGGTACTGTCGTGAAAGAAACAGCGGGAAGCAGCTGCGTCATGCGTGAAGGTGTGCAAGGCCTCAGCACGCGCTGTACCAGAGAGAGCAGACTCACTAGCACCTAGAGCAGCAGCCTCTATACCTGGGTCGGGCGGTAGACACAGGTAACAGTCACCCTCAGCACTAACAGTCAATGCATACAAGGCTGCAAGGATAGCATCATAATCAAGAGCAAAGATATCCACATTCTGCCTAAGGAGCTCTGCCCAGCGGGGGAGCTCAGTCGCGTCGGGAAACTCTGCGCGAAAGGCGTCGTAAAGACGGGAGAAGCAGCAGTGCTGTGTGTGAAACTTCCCGCATGTCTGACCAGAGCGGTCAACTGTGCGAATGACATACGGGCAGCGACCACTACCCCCAGACGCCCCACGCTGAGCAAACCACTCACGAAGCTTATGGGGCGAAGGGGTCTCACGCTGACGCTGCTGCTGCTGCCTCTGACCACCGCCTAAGCCTCCCCTCTGACTGGTACCACCCCGGCCGCCAACTGCCGCCGCCTCCACTCCCACCGCCGCCACCACTGCCGCCGCCACCACCGCCGCCACCACCGCCGCCACCTACGCCTCTACCCCCAACACCACTCCCTTCGCCACCACCACCACCTCCACCGCCTACCGCCCCCACCACCGCCTCCACCGCTGCCACCCCCACCGCCCCTGCCTCCCCTGCCCCTGCTGCTGCGGGGCCTCCCACTAGGGGCAGACGCAGCTCCTACCTCCTCAGCACGAAGGTAGTCAACAGCTGCAGCAGAGGCGACTGAGGGGACAAGGGGGGAGGGCGAACACCCCTCAAAGGGAGTGCGATGAGTGCCACGAGAAGCGCCTACAGCGTTTATGCTAGTCTCAGCTGCTAGGAGGTGCTTCTCGAGCAGGTCGACAGTGAGGTCGGTGGGGTCAAGGGCAAGAAGGAGGTCCCTGACAGCGCTAAGAGAGTCAGGGAGGCGGGTGACTATGAAGTAGAGAGTGGTGTACATGGGACGAGGGTTCTTGGCGAGAAACTCGGCGGGAAGCACAGCGCGGTAGCGAGTGTCACTAGTGCGAAGGTGAGTGACGAGGTCGGCTACTGTGGCAAAGGCGGACAGCTCTGGGAACAGGTAGGGCAGGAGAAGGCGGCCTAGAGCAGCAGTGGCCGGGGAGGAGTAACGAGCGACTACAACGTCGTACAGGGCTCTAGCAGTCTTGTGCAGGCCAAAGTGCGCGCGTTCGGCGAACGGCAGGTGGTTGCGAACGGCTAGGCAAGCAGCAGCGTCACGGGTAAGCCACTGTGAGCGAGTCGCACTATCAGCTGTGGCGGCAGGGGCGAGAGAGGCGCCAGACGTGAGGTCAAACAGTGAAACACCGTCCTTAGAATCGCTCAGTAAGTACAGTTGTAAGTCGTCGAGCCACGCATCGAACTCTATCGGGCGGCCCTCTGGATCGAAGGTGAGGACACTGAGAGTGGCCATAGCGGGCAGAGCAGACGGGCGCGCTAGCAGCAGAGCAGCACGCAGGCAGGGCAAAGCAGTGCGGCAGCCAGCTGGGCAGGGCGGCGCTGTGGCGAGCGGCTCTCAGGCAAGGCGGCGCGGCGGCTAGCCGCGCGAGGGCAGGGCAGGGCAGGGCGGCGCGGCGGTGAGCGACGCGCTGGCAGGGCGGCAGCTTGGCGGCGAGCAGTGCGCGGGCTAGCAACGCGGCGGCTGGCGGCACGCGGGCAAGGCAGGGCGCGCGGGCAAGGCAGGGCGCGTGGCGGCGGGCGGCGCGCGGGTAGGGCAGGGCGCGCTGCGGCGGGCGGCGCGCAGGCAGAGTAGGGCGCGCGGCGGCCGGCCGCGCGCGGGCAGGCCAGGGCGCGCGGCAGCGGGCGGCGCGCAGGCAGAGCAGGGCGCGCGGCGGCGTGCGGTGCGCAGATAGAGCAGGGCGCGCGGCGGCGAGCAGCGCGCGGGCAGGGCAAGGCTCGCGGCGGCGAGCGGCGCGCGGGCAGAGCCACGCGGCGCGGCGGCGAGCGGCGCGCGGGCAGGGCAGGGCGCGCGGCGGCGAGCAGCGCGCTGGCAGGGCGGCGCGGCGGCGAGCGTTGCGCGGGCAGGGCAGGGCGTGCGGCGGCAGGCGGCGCGCGGGCAAGGCGGCACGGCGCGGCGGCGGGCGGCGCGCGGGCAGGGCTGGGCAGGGCGTGCGCAGGCAGTGCGACGCAGGGCAGGGCAGGGCAGCGCGGCGCTAACACAGCGGCGCGACGGGTGGGGTAGCGCGACTCGGTGGGCCCTAAAAAAAAACCGGTCCTAGCAGAAGTACGAACGAGAATCAATGAACTAGCAGCATGCAGGAGTACAAGTAGCAAACCCTAATTGGGTTGTACCCCATATGGGCTACCCCACTATAGCCTACACAACAAGTAACATATAAGTTTGACACTACGAAGATTGGCTTGCGATCGCTTAGCGAAATGCACATTACTCGTTATGCATGAAATACACGGGTGTACGAAATCAGCACACCATTTCACATTATGACCAACTGCCCGTGAAACTCGAGCAGCACGTGCCGACTGTAGGCGTCCTTTCGCGACCGAAAGCTACTGTAGATAAAGAAAAAACGCGACCCATAAAACATACTTTCGTGGGCACGAAATTGCGCTCGTGCACGACAAGACGTGCGTGAGGGTGTCTCGCATGTGAATTTCGGTCGGGATTCGGGGTACACACGCTACACTTATAGATTTTCGAGGCTCAGGACGTTGTCGTACACTCTTTTAACGATTTCGAGCAATTACTAGTTAAACCGTTGAAGATCTAATTATACCGCAACCGACAATCTGGATTACCCCGTAATCGTGATCGGCGTGACTAAAGACCTCAGAGTATCAACACGCGAGAAAAACACCAGCACGCGGTCAACCACAGGCGCGAAACTTGACAGGTGCTGACTCGTATTTGCACCGTTACCTATCGCATTTGACCGCACACAGACGTTTGAGGAAAAGTCGTAATTGGCCAACGAGCGAGCACACCTGTGAAAGTATGAACCACGAATATGATATTATTTCCAAATTCTGGGTCCCCCGGTCCGCGTTTAGACTTTTACGCACGAATGTGGAATTCGATTTGTGACTTAAAGCCCATATGTATCTGTTCACATGTTGAATTAACTTGCGAAAAGCGGAGTGCTAGAGGTGGTGGGGGCGAATGTAAGATTAGTAATATTGGGGCGCGATGTCATCTTTTCCCAACATAGGCTTTAAGATCTAAAACTCACGACCTCGAAGGCACTCGCTTGATCACCAGGACTACGATCCCGATGTCCATATTGATTCCATTTCACGTGGTGTCACATTTTGGCGCGCTTACGGAGTACCCGCGCTGAAGTGCGAAAATGGTGCTTTACTGAGTGCTTGCGCGATATGTTTACCCCCGAAACCACGATGGCGTGTAGTGAAATACCGTGGGCATTTCACACGGTTACAGGGTTGTTATTGGTTTGTGAGCTGAAATTTGGTGCAACGATAACGTTTCGCGCCTAAAAGTATTGCGCAATGACACGAAAACACTATTAGAATATGGAAACAGGAAATGGGTGTATTGAGGAGGATGCAAGATACAAGTATCAACCATAAATGGGTTGTACCCTATATGGGCTACCCCACTATATCCTACAGACATACAAATGTATTTTGACACACCCCCATAGGCACAGTGGGGGATAGCAAGAACAACCAACGGTCACAAGACCAGTCAAGCAAGAGAACAAAGCAAAGCAAAGCTCAGGGTGGATCTCAAGATCACCACGCATTCTGAGCACAAGCAAGCGGCCACAAGGCCAGTTCACATGCAGAGTTTACAATAGCAAGAGCTGTACACTGATCACAACCTAGCAAGTGTAAGCATGCAGGTATACTCATATATATCAGTGTACAACAAGAGCAAGATCAAGAGACAAGCAAGTGAGGCAGAGTGGGCACAAGCCCAAGAGTAGTGCAGAAACGCTGATGATCACTAGACCCAAGGGCCTTAGTGAAGACATCAGCAGTGTTGGCCCGTGTGGCCACGTAAGCAAGACGAAGCTAACCACGATGCTGCAGCTCTCGCGTGAGGAAGTAACGAAGAGCAATGTGCTTCGTTCTGTACTCCATGTCGGAGAACACCACTCCAGCACCTTCTCTTCCTTCTTGCTTCCTCTTTCCTCCCTTCTCCGTGTTGCTCCGCCTCAGTCACTCACTGCCCCTTGTCCCTTGCAGCACTTGCTCTCCTCCTTGTTGTCTCCCTCTCTCTTCCTTCTCTGTGTCGCTCCGCCTCAGTCACTCCCTGCCCCCTCCTGTGCCCGTGCTTGAGCAGCTAAAGCTCGCGTCACAGGACCACTCTGCTGAGGCTTGCTGACCCTTACCACGGCTGTGTTGGTCTGGTGTTCCTTCAGTTGTGCCCCCTTCTCGTTCTCCAACACTAGTATCCCTGAGGGACGTACTTCCTTCACCCTCCACCTGTCTGTTCCGACCCCAACGTCCAAGGTATCTTGCTTTGCCTTCCTTAGGTACACTTCTTGCCCCAGGCCCTCTCCCTTCTGTGCTCTCCTGCCCGCCCCTTGCTGCTGTCGCTGTTCATAGCGCCTGGCATCTCTCAGCTGTGCGGTGTGGAGGTTCTCCAACGCAGCTGGCATCATCACCCGCAGGTACCTTGCTCTGGCTTCCGTCAGCGCCACCCAATTGTCTATGGTGCCTGCCGTCACTGTGTCTGTGAGGACCCGGGTTGCTCCCACTGCCAGCAACGGCTCACACCCATAGAGGAGGCTGTATGGGGAGTGGTCTCTCAGGGCCGCCTGTTTCCCAAACCTGTATCCTGCTGCAATCCAGTGCAGCTCCTCATCCCAATCCCGCTTCCTCTTCTCCCCATATGCCCGCAATCCCCTCTTTAAGGTCTGCACCAGGCGCTCTGTCAACCCATCACTCTGTGGGTGGTAGCGGGAGGTGCGATTGTGAGTGATCCCCGTCTCTTCCAGCAACGCCTTGAAGTCTCCCTGGAACACGGTTCCCTGATCTGTTAGGACTTCTGCACATGCCCCAAATCTGCATATCACTTGCTCCTTGAATGCCGCTGCCACCTGCCTCGAGCTCTTGCTCGGTATTGCCCTCACCTCTAGCCACTTGCTCACGTGCTCCACCATGAGCACAATGTATTGCTTCCCCCCCCGACTCAAAGGCAGTTCCCCGGCCAGGTCCAAGGACCACCTAAAGCCTAGGCCTCGGATGGGCAGGGACTGTAGCTCGGCCTTGGCCTGGCTGAGGTTCGCCCTGCTCCTCTGGCATGCCTCACAGACCTCCACCCAGCCCTTCACTTGCCTCCGCATCCCCTCCCACCACCACCCTGTCTTCAGCAGCTGCACCGTCCTCTCATGCCTGAAATGCCCCAGCTTTGTGTGCACCTCCTTGATCACTGCTTCTCGGTCACTAGGTGCTGGCACCAACTTCCAACCATCCTCGGTTTGTATCTGTAACTGCAGCTGATACCACATGTAGTGATGCCCCCTGGCCCTCACTCTCTCTGTCATCTCCTCATCCTCCCCCGTCTCCCCTTTCACCCACCGCATGGCCTGTTTGTCTTCCCATATATCCGCTGGTCCCCTGCTCCCCTTGGCCCCGACCGCTTCCACCTGCCTTGCCAGCAGTGTCAAGGTCACGCTTGGTTCCAGCTGTAGGGGGTTCCGTGAGAGGCCGTCCACGTGCTGTAGAGTCTTTCCAGGCCGGTGCTTGATCTTGAAATCGTATTCCTGCAGCTTCATCGCCCACCGTGCATTCCTGCCCGCCAGTCCCGGCGTTGTCATCAGCCATATCAGTGGCTGGTGATCCGTCACCAAGGTGAACTCCCGTGCCTGTAGGTACACTCTGAAATGCCCCACTGCCCATACTGCTGCCACTCCCCTATGTATGAGCTGTATTGCGCCTCAGCCGAGTTACAGCTCCTGCTCGCGTAGGCCACCACCTTCTCCTCCCCTTTCACCTCCTGGCAGAGTATCCCTCCCATTCCTTGGCTGCTCCAGTCGGTGTAGAGGGTGAATTGTTGGTCTGCTGCCGGCAGCCGCAACACGGTCGCCGTCTTCACTGCTGTCATAAGGTCCTGTAGGGCTCCCTTCTGGGCCTCTCCCCACTCCCACGCCCTGTCCTCCCTCAGGAGCCCATTCAATGCTGCTGCTCGTTTGCTGAAGTAGGGCTCCCTTCTGGGCCTCTCCCCACTCCCACGCCCTGTCCTCCCTCAGGAGCCCATTCAATGCTGCTGCTCGTTTGCTGAAGTTGGGCACGAACCTTCTGTAGTAGCTGAGGAAGCCTAACACCGCTCTCAGCCCCGACTTGTCCTTTGGCTCCCGCAGCCTGTCCAATACCTCTACCTTAGCCTGCTGGATCCCAATCTGGCCTCCCTTCACCTCGTAGCCTAGGTACTGCACCGTCTCCTCACCTCACCTGCATTTCTTGGGGTGACACGTGAGTCCCGCCGCT